TGAGAAAAGAAAGGAGGAAATCGAAAAAAGACCGACCCCAAAATACCCAAGGTAGTTGCAGAGAAACAGAAAAAAACATTCCTTTAAAATAATTGAGTTTAACATCAACGATTGAAAGTACCAGCTACATGGAAGTGATAACGTGGCCCAAATCTCTGGGAGAAAAGAGTACTTGATTTGGGGATTTTTTTCTTCTTTGAACCTAAATTGTTTTTTGGCTCAAAAGAAATATCTGAGTAGGGTAAATGGTAGATTTTTTTCTCACTAATGCAATTTCGTTGTGCTCAGAAAAATAGAAAACCATTTTATAGATACTGTTTGAATCAGATCAGCATAACGAAAAATTCTCAATTTAAATTAATCTTTGCTTTTTCACAAAAATGCAAAAGAATGGCTAGTGGTAGTCTCACTAATACTGCAACTACTATCCTTTGTTTTCTTTTGGCAGCGTAAGCAAATCTTAAGCATGTATTACTTTTCAACCCCAACTTCCTGGAATTTATTTTTTATAACTAAATGTCCTGAATTTCATATAAACACCTTACTAGGTTGATTTTCCGTTTTTTTTTCCCTTCACTAAAGTTGTACAAAGGCTAGAACTCAACAACAGGCTTAAATGGCACTACAACAGGTCTTTTTAGAGGTGAAAGGTTCTTAGGCACCGTTTTTTCTCAGTAGTGAGTTATTAAGTGGGTTTCTAAGTCTTTCATTTACTGTTATTTTTCTATCTCAGTGGCAGACATTCATCCAGCAAGGGGTGGCTGGGAATAGAGTTTACTGACCCAGATATTTTCCTTTAGCACAGCAGTTTTATATACATTAGTGCAGTAGCATCTGTAGCCCATTCTAGCAGGTCTCCAGTCAATGTCCTATTTGAACAGCACCAGTGTGTTGTTTCTCAGTTCTCTGCAGCGGTTTACCCACCAGAGTGCCTGTAACCAGCAACTAGCAAGAAGTCAGATATATTAATGACTTGCAACTAGATGAGTACATTGCAAACATAAAATTCTTACCTGTTAATTGGAGGAAAAGAAATCACCTGAAGAACAGGTCTCCAGCTAGACAGACAGACAGGGTTTTTGATACCTAGAGGCGTTGAACATTTCTAAGTTGTAGAGTCTGCATAAATACTTTAGGACACGTCCTTATTTCCTTATGCCTTTGACTACAAAAATTAAAGGATGCTGGAAAAACTACAAAGACTGTATAGGTAAGGAGGTAAATCCATGTTTTAGGAACAATTGCTGTCTCCTCATACTGTACTTATAAAATGCAGAAGCAGAAGTCATACTTTCTCTCTGGAAAGGTCAGGAGAGTCTTTAGCACGAGGCACTAGGATCTCATCCAACAACAAATTGTATGCCTCTCTCAGTGTTTTACAAAACTGTTTTCTCAGAGGTTTACAAAACCTCTCTCAGTGTTTTACTAACATAAAGCTGCATTGGACAAGCAATGCAGGTCTGCTGGAGATGCACCAGGTTCATCACGGGCTGCTAGTATGGGAATCAAAACATAGCAGTTGTATTCCTCCAGTCCCACTGCCTTGTGCCTGGATCATAAGTAGTTACTGAAGGAGAACAAAAGCTGCAGCTACCTGTGGTTTGATAATGATCTGGCTTAGCCAGGTAAAGTAGGAGTGATGATGATCAGCAGCCATCATGCTGCAGCTCTAAGCCTCACCTTCCAAAATTCATTCTGCAGAGCCACAAGTGCCGAAATATTTTCCTTTAGCCATTTAAAAGAAAATGTCACTGTACTCAAATACCTCTGACATCCAATAGTGAAAGCAACCAACACACCTGGCAAAGATACAAGGCGAACATGTTATTCCCGAAGAACGTTGCAGATGAGGACTAAGATTGTATCAACAGTGTGACAAAGTTGGCTTCTTGCCTAATTACAGTGCAGTCCTGTTTAAAATCCTTCACTTCGTGAATGAACAAAAACATTGGTCAAGCTTTAAGGCAATAGTGGAAAGAAGAAAGTTTCCTTCTGTCCTAAAAGATTTTGTGCATTCAGAACAGGCAAAAGTCCACAGTATCAGCTGAGTCTTTGAGCTACTAAATTCGCAGCATTTTGAAATGAAGTAACATGATACTTGGTTCTGTCTAAAATTCTAGTTCAGTCTTGGTCATGACCTCCAAAATGATAATAATTCTGGTATGAGTCTGAGCGCTCTTTCCGTCTTTTTTCCCATTTATTTCTCTTATTTTTCATTATTTTACTACTGGAATTGCGCTAGACCTCTTAAAACTAATAATAATGTAACAGTTCTGTGGAAAGAGAGTTTTTTATTCTAATGCAACTAAATTACATAGTTCTATTTTATTTTTGATACAGCAGCAATTTGTTCTGCTGAAGGGGGTTTATTTTTCTCAGGCAGGCAGGAAACGAGGATGAAAGAGATGTTGCGAATTTAAGGTTATATGTGGTCCAACGTATACAAAGTGTTTCCCTCGGTTTTCCTGCGGTAATAAGCTGTTCAGTGCTTGCAATTTATGTGACGCCTTTTAATTAAGCTGGGAGTTCACTGAGCATGTGTTTAGTTCGAGATGTACTTTGTTCTTCTGCTGAACTCCTGTTGTTCAGTATTTTCAGCCTCCAACGCGCAGACTGCGTCACTTTTAGCCTTGAAAAAGTAGAAGGGCATTTTGCCCTGTGATGATGCCACAAGCACAGTGATGCAAACAAGACACTCCCAACATTAGCTGACCTGCTTGCCAGGCTGTCACGCTTTCCTTTAGTGCTATGGAGATGCCTGTTGCTGCAAAAGTTGTGTAGGAAATTGCAAAGCAGTGAGGATTGTTATTATCAGACTGTTATGTGGCAACACTGTCTTCCCCCATTTATTGTCAGCACCTGCCGGAGCTGCCCTTGAGGAGGGACATGTTCCTCATTCCCGCTGAGTAAGAGAGGAAGGCTTCCTCTTCCTCTGCCTTCTGACCCACCTGCCTGGCTGCTAACCTCTGTGTCACAGTTCGTCATCTGTGGCATGGGAAGTGCGTCATGAGCATGTACAGTAGAGGGGCAGATCTCATCAGCTCACATTTTTATTGTGTTTTGAGGTGAGATGTACACAGAAATGTGTATTTCTACCCACGTTACCTGTGGTCTACAGGTCAGAGGAGCAGACTGCCTGCACTGCAGGGAAAGCTTCCTTGCCAGTCATTGAAGAATAAGAAAAACAATGGGAAAAAAAAACGTTAGGAAAAACATCAGGAAACATTTCTTCACTGAGAGGGTGGTCCAAGCCTGGAACAGGCTTCCTAGAGAGGTGGTCAATGCCCCATGCTTGTCAGTGTTTAAGAAGGACTTGGACAATGCCCTTAATAACATACTTTTAACTTTTTGTCAGCCCTGAAGTGATCAGGCAGCTGGACTAGATGATCATTGTAGATCCCTTCCAACTGGAACTGAACTATTCTGTTGTGTTCTATTCTATTCTATTCTATTCTATTCTATTCTATTCTATTCTATTCTATTCTATTCTATTCTATTCTATTCTATTCTATTCTATTCTAAAAGTTGCAGTATGAGCATAGACATCAAATGATTTGCAAGAAACGTTCGTAGATTCCACAGGGACATAGAAAATAGATCTTTAAAGTAGCATTTGCAGTATTTATGCTTTGTCTCAGGAACACTTTGAAGGGTCAAACTAAGTTTAATTTGAAAACAATCTACTTTAACAGAGGACTTTAACTAACATAAATGCTTTCTCACTTTAATTGCTTTAGGTAGCATCTAAATTGTTTGTCTAATTGAGCCAGTTTCCTATTACTTCATCCAGTTTACCTTCTCAGTCTCTAACATGCTGTACTACTGTCACTGATGCTGAAGTCTCTTTACCTCCCTTCAAATCCCCTAGAGCTCTAGGGTCGAGTGAAGATAGAACAGGTGCTATGGGATGGCTAGACTGGATTTCTTGGGATACACTCTGCAGGGCTATTTCAGCTGGCAAACTGAAGCTTGTCACCAAAGTGTTGTCTTTGCATTGACCACTTTATATATCTCCTTTCTCCATCACGGTACACTGTTCTTTGTGCCCTGATGTTTGTTGACCTCTATCCAAGATGCTGCTGCAGTTCAGCAATGCTGTATGAGTAGGAATCTAGGAATGTGGGGACAACATATGCTGTTGAATATGAATGTAAACTATGTTTATGCAAGTCCTAATTGAAGGTATCACTTAATTTTATTATTTTTTTTTTTTTAAAAGAGGCAATCTGTACTGGCAAAAGGAAAAACATAACAGGTATTCATTCAGATCAAAATGATAACATAGGTTTCATCAGTAAAGGAAAGGCACTAATAGACTGCAGACTCAGTTGCTTCCCAAGAAGAAGAGGCCCAAGAGCAGCTGTTGCTCAACAAAAGTAGTAAGGGGATTTACACTTCCATATGTTCCAGTGCCATCTTAACCAAGAGTGAAAGTGGCTTGAAAGAACAGCCCCACTATATTCGTTCTTGTTCTTTATGAATTGTATATCTCACCTCACTGACCACACATGGCTAAAGCAGTTTCTGGGCCTGTTAGAAGCCTCATTCTTAGATTATTTATATAGCTTTCTGCTATATAAAATGTTGAGATTGAATAGGTTGCTGATTTTGGTCGAAAATATTTATTCAATGCCAAATGCCATAAATTAGGTCCACAATCTATAATACACCTTATTCCTCTTAATAACATATTGGAAACACTAAATCTAATGTTGTTCTAATATGAGAACATTCCTTTGTCTCTAATTTCACCCTGTAATTATTATGGAAGACTTTTCTGCCATATGCTCATTAATACAATTTCTGTCTTTAGCAAATTTTGTCTCTCAAAAAATAGTGTGTTAATCCTATCTAATAAGCTTCTCGTAAAATGCATAAAGTAAGATCATCTTGTAGCAATCAGGATATTTTGAGATCCAAATGGTGCTGCCCTGATTTAAATTCTTTCAAAAAAAAAATTACCTTGGTTTCAATAATGGTATTGTCTTTTAACATTTCAGATCACAGTATTTCGCATGGGATCAGAAGGACACCAGGATATTGATTTAGCTATCCTGACAGCATTACTAAAAGGTAATGGAGTTTCACTCCACAGTGAGTCTGTATCAATCCAAATGGATTTACTCTGTGTCTCTGCTGTGCTGAAACCTGCATTTATTGACAATATCTTCTGTATTGAGATGGCAAATCTATACCATGAAATTGAGGTATACTTTTTGCTCAAACTGCTTCATACAAATCCAGCTTTCTTTAATGTTTAAATAGCTACCGGTTTTCCTTTCTGAATTTTTGTTCTCCACCCACAATCGCTAATGCGTCATAAGAAATATGATTGGTGACCCCCCACTGTTACTTGAGAAGGTTAATACTCACAAGAAGACAGCCAAAGAGCTTCTCAGACTTAGATTGCCTTGTGGATGGTAGAACATCCAGAAGGAGGTTATCTCCCTTTAGATAAAACTGGCACTATTGTCAAAAGAAAATGTTATCTGTAGTCATCCTAGGAAAGTCTGGGAACCGTGTGGGATTCCTTCCAGCCTCCTCTGGTAGAGCTACAAATTCAGCTATGGGGGTGGTAGAGGTTTTAATCTTAAACTTAACAGGTCACTAAATCTTTCTAAGCCATTACATGTTACATTTATGCTCTTAAAAGATTGTCTTACAATAAATCTGCTATTGCTACAGTTCAGTATACACCCTGGTCTTCCAGACACTTAGTGACTCCCTTCAAAATATGGTATTATCAGGTAATCTAATATCTGCTTGCAGATAGAGAAACAGGTGAGAATTTAAAGGCTCTGAAGCACAGGTACTTACCTTATGAAAGGTTACTCACCTAAGCAAGAGCTGGGAAGTTTTAGCTCTCCATTTATATGGTATTTCCTCAAATGGGATTTTCACAAATTGCATGTATCAGTCACGATGGTCATCTTGCTGCTGTGTGGTCTGTTTTGTACTATGTAGTACAAGCCATACTGATTTTGAAAACAGAAGATAAAGACATATTTTAAAGAGCAATCTGAGAAACATTAGGGAATGGTCTTCCAAAGGCAACTGGGGAAAGTTGTGCTTCATGAGGCTCTTAACAGTTGTCATCACACTATTGCCACCCCCACACCTGAATAAGGGTACATAAAGCCATGCGGCAGACCTGAATTAGAGTCATAACAAAAAATTTAATAGATTTACTGGGTATTCAAAAGGTAATGGGAATTGTTCTGGCTTGCTCCAGGGCTCGGTTTTCTGCTCAGTTTCTTTCTGTGCAGGCTCACTAAAGCTGTATGAAGAGAAAAGGGAAAAGGCCCAAGTAACTTTCATCTAACCAAGCGCAACAGTATTTTATCTTTTACACAGTTATTAATCCCATTTGAAAAATGTTACTTCCAACATTTAAAACAAAAGTCTGAACAGGAGGACTAAACAAGCATTGGCTACTTCAAAAGTGTGATTGCCAGCTGATAGCTACAGTCAAGGAAATGAGCTGGAATTACTTTGCTCCAGTAGCTTGCTTTTTTTAGGCTTCTGTGGTATTGCTTTCTCCACTTCTTTTGATTTCGATCAAGATATCAGTTGTTTGTCCTGTAGGTAACATGACTATTTTGCTGCTACCCTGGGGTAACAAGTTTTAGCCATCTGCATAATTAAATCTCAAGGCATTTTGGACATCTTCATACAGAAACAATATAAATGAAGGTGAAGAAAGGAAAAAGAAATTAATTCAAAGCAAGGAACAAGAATTGCATTCGTCACCAAATTCCTCTTTCTAGCCTTAGGAAATATTTTAATTGCAGATTTCATTTTTACCTTAAGTATAACTGGATCCTTCATTATCCTCGGTGTAAAGTCTATTCTCTTCACATTTGTTCTTAAGACAATCACTGAAACTACGGCTCTTGATTTCTGTTAGTAAGATACAGATTGTCTTAAAGTTGTGATTCCACTTTTTCTAAGTATATATTCAAGGTCTGAATCCCAACATAGATCCCTGGAGTTCTTTGCCACCTTGAAAGCTGCCTCTTCAAAGCTAAAGAAAATAAATTATAGGCCTAGGAGGGATTTTTTTTTCTCTTTGAAAAGTTCTTTTGCAGTATTTACTTGAGCAATTGTGCTATGATTGCAGTTTGGATATATAAGTAGTCCTCTCTGATCTGGAATATCCACTTTGCAAGTGCCTAATTGGTCCTGTCATCTCTGTAGTAAAACAGAATTACCTTCCCTCTTCATAATCGTAGTGCAAGACATCATAGTGAACTTCTGTCAGCTCAGATCTGACGTCTCCCTTCATGCTTGCCCGACAATATTGATTTGGTAATCTGCTCATGACAGCAGCACTTGTGTCTGGCTCAAGAGCCAGAGAAACTAAAACTTACACATCATCTTCCCTGCTCCTCAGCACTTTCTGATTGTGAAGGTACTCAGTGAAGATTTATCAGATGCCTCGTGTTAGTCTGAGCTTTCTGATCACAAGGAATGAAAGTCCATATAACTTTTTAATCGATATATGCAAAGATGAGATCTCAGGCAAGTCAGCTGTCCTTATCCATACCATGTCTTTGTACAAAGGCTCTGGCCCATCCTGAAAGAAATACTGTCTTTCTGTAACTACATCCCATCAGGTTGATGAGTAGGTGGATTTTTCATTAATCAAGAAATCTAAGATAGCAATGCTGAACTACTTGTGTATTGATTTACTAGTAAGCAGATTTGAAGACTGGATCTGAATTATCTTGAAATTCCTAAACTTAGATTCAGGAATTAATCTCTTTCACCTCTTCAACACTGTGTGAAAAGGGGGCAGAGAAAAGTATGAAACTGGTAAGTGACAATTTATTGAAACTTTTTCTCGGTCTCACTGGTGAGGATTTTGGAGTTCATGCTAGCCAGTATTCAAGGCACATACCAGCTAATTACCAGTCCCACCCTGGTGTGAGTGATTCGTTCAGGGAGTAGGAGGAGTACAAGGACTGGGAAACATGAAGTATCATTTCCTGCTTGCTGTGTAAAATTTACAATGAGCTAATCTCTTTTTAAACCCACATCAGGCACACTGCCAAGGAAAGAGCTCTCCTGGATGGAATATTCCATAAGCCCCAAACCCTACACTGAATATGAGAGACTATTTCCTTGTTTGTTTTCATGAGTCACTTGTTTAATCTTGTCAGCAGATCTATCTTTCTTGGAAGTGATCTCCAGGAAACTAGGGAATGGTGTCCAAACTGGTTATCAATTTACATTGCATGGATGTCACAACAGCATATGGCTTGTGAATTTCTTTTTTTTTTTTTCGTTTCGAGAGACATGCAAGTGTGGGAAGTAAGTTTCCAATTGCATTAATTTGTAGCAAGTAAATTCATTTATACAGTTTAGCTGTTTCTGCTCTCTTAACTTGAACAGTTGGAACTCAAACAGAAATGGATTTCGTCCTTTTGCAGCTGCTAATCGAGCAGAAGGCATGTGACAGGAAAGTTAAAGACAGCATATGGAGATGTTTTAAATTATAATTGTTTTGAAGTGGCATCAAAGATCCTAGTTCACAAAGCTGTTGCAATGTCTGGAGCATACTGCAGCACCAGCCCAGTTTCAGCTGGTGCTCTAGAAGCCTTCCCAGTGCAACTGTTAGGATTGGGAAAGAGGTGCTGTATGGTATATGCATAATGTAACATTACTGCCATGTAACCCTCCAAGATAAGCCATGTTAGGCTAATGCAGATCTGATGTCTCTGTATACTTTCCAGCCTGTGAATAAGTCATGATTCATGCTCACTGAACAGCCATCGTGTAGTGTCAGATAGTCCTGCAAGACAGTCTGATGGTCTGCCAACCATGAAATCACTGACACAGAAGGATTTCAGAGTTAGGCCAGATATCTGCTTACTGCCCTTACAGTTGTTGTTACTATCAGCTTTGTTATTGTCAATTCATTTGCTAAATGCCAGGAAGATGCTTGTAGCAAATGCAGTGGAAACACAGCCTTTTCACCTGTGTTTCACAGAGAGCTGCTGAAACAGCAGACAACGTAAGACCTGCTGAGATGCAGAGCAGAAAGATAATTTGGGTTGCTATTTTCCCTAATCTAATTATTTTCTTTAAATGATGACTCAGAGAGGACATTGACATGCTTAGAAGCACTGTGGAAATGAGTCTCCAACAATGATTTCTGTCTAGGAAGATCAGTTTTGTGTCATTTCAGCTTTCCAGATTCCTGAGCACTAAGTATCATAGACTAGCCCAGGAGAATCCTTTAGAAGTTTACGTTGATCACAGTAAACTTTAGCCAGTATATTAAAGCCTGTAGTCTGTCTTTTCATTGTCTGACGTGTACCCTGGCTCACCTAAGATACAAAACCAAGTTTATGGTCCCAGGCTTTATCATCAAGGAGTATTGCATTTTTGGTCCAAGATACTGGATAGACCATCTGACTTTTCACCAGAGGAATCTATGCAATATATCCAAGCACTCCTGGATGGCTGCCTAAGAGCATAAAGTTGACACCTCCAGGAACTAACAGTTGTCCCAGGTCTCCTTCTTGTTCATTCAACTTCACACCATCCTTGCATTGTGTATCTATATCCAGCAATATCTATACGGAAATAAAATACTGCCAAATCAATGCATCACATCCCAAATGCAACTTTTCTTCTAGGAGCAGATGAAGGGAAGGAAGAGTCCTACTGCATACATTAGTCATATTGTCTTAAAATGTGCTTTTGAGGAACATGTCTTGTGCTCAGCCAGACACCAGGATACTGAGTAAATATTGCATAGACATTAATCATATTGCATAAAACACTACTTAAAGCAGTAAGTATACTACAGTGATTAAAATACCACAATGCAACTAAGCAGAGAATCTTTCCATAAGACAGGATAAAATAGATATATAGGGAGAAGAAATGCTAATTTCTCACCACTGACAGTGTTAAGGGCCTAAGAAGTGGTTCCAATGTGATCCCTGTATTGGTTGATGAGAGCAGTAGATTATTAATCTACCTTATTTTTTGATTTCCCAAATATCCTTTGGTTTTGATTTACATACGTTGCAAGATGAGTGAGATGAGTCCTCAGGGAGGTCACTTTTTAGATTCTTCTCACTGACTCAAATCCATGCTCCGTGGCACCTAATGCAATCAAGGAAATGACTGAAAGGAGACAGTATCTTAGGAAAGCCCACTTCACATTTGTTCTGGGGAGTTTTTCTTATATTAGTGGAATTATTTTTACTTCTTAATACCAGATAGAATTCCACCTGAAATAGCCTGAATACTTTCTTTTTCATTTGAGTCAAAAGTCATCAGTCCATCCTGGAACAAAATCAATTAAACAGCATCCGCAGCCCATATGCTGCGTTGTACAAACTATAGCTTTGATTTTCCTTCTGCTCTTATATAACACCAGTGTAATTCACATTCACCTGAAAATCACATATGGAAGACAGGAAAGAGAAGAGTGCAAGGGCTTTCCAGCAACAAATCTCATTCTGGGAGCAGCCATCCCACCGTATATATCAGAACCCCAGCATGCAGGCCTCTACTGCCCAGTCCATGACCTAGCTGGTGGACTGGTTTGGGCCTGAAGTACAAAAACCTCTTGAGAAATTATACATTTCCTTCAACTGCCAAATGTCTGCAGCACACTGCAAGACAATTAAATGAACCATTATGGTAACAAGCACCGAGAAGAGCATCATCTCCAGGACTGCACGTGCACCCACAGGAAAACTTGTGCACTGCTGGAAGCCTTAAACACCATGGAGGGAGATGGGAAGGACAGAGGCTAGACTATGACTTGCTTTCCCCTCTGATTGGTATTTGGAGCAATAAGCACGCTCAAAGACAACAATTCTGATGAACTGCTGGACTTGGGGGCCTTTCTGGAGATGGAGCCACCACTTCATGCCCCATATCTGTTGCTCTTCATGTGATGGAGTGGACCAGAAGGCCATGTGTTCAACTAGCAGCTGGATCCTTCCTAAAGCACAAAAAGACCCAGGAATGCTAGGTCACTCAACACAAACTGAAGAAGACTCCCTGCAAGGGGTCAGAATGTGTTCACCTGGAGCCTCTGTGATTTGGCTCAAGCTTTGGCTGAAGTGAGGGCAGTATAAGTAGCCCACTTCCTTCCCCAAGTCCATTTTATCCACTCTTGATCCAAAATGGCTTCTAATCAGGCTGCGCCACTGGCTACCCAGACTGTAGGCTGCAGTCAGTTTAGAAAAACCAGGAGAACGAGCTCCCCCATCACACGTGCAAAATGGTGCCAGGGTGCAGGATCGCCCTCTCTGCCCCTGGGTTTTGCAGTTCACCTGTGTGTCTCCTCCACTGTTCACCAGACAGCTCGCCTGAGCACTTGCCGAAGCTCTCGCTTCTCCTGCAGGCACATGGACGGGAAGGAGGAGATCCAATGACATTTTGAGAGGATCTCTTGTTCTTTTCAGAAAGGGGGAGAAAGTTATTTGCCCTCTGTGCTTAATTTACACTATCATACTCGCTGCAGGTAGTTTTCTTCTGACTTTATAAATAAAACCACAGAGACATTTTTGTCCTTCCCAAAGGTAAATATTTTCTGTTCTTAAATGTTGCACATTGCTTGTGTAAGAAACTCAGAAAGACTCAAATGTTGCTGGCATCCCCCATGAGGTCTCTCGTGAGAGCTTTTATCTGTGTCATAGTATATAGCAATGAGAAGCTGTGTCTTATGCAAAGGGGTGTATCTGTTACTTCTTAGACACAGAAAGGTCTTTTACTGTTTTCACTATTTTTTCTTCATTTTTTCTATTATTCTGCTCCTGCATCACCTACTTTTTTATCAGAGCTCATTTCTGTAATAAAATGAAAGTGGTCTGAATGATCTACAGTCCACTATCACCCAAATACTTGCTGTAGATATTGGCAAGTATTTGGCAAAATTTCATGGCAGTGAACTGACTGAAAAGTTGAGAGTTATAAAATTAAACTGTAGGCTAAAAGTCCCAAAGGTCTACTGAACTGATCCTTCACAGGCAATTTCAGTGGCCAGCATGTTATGCTTTATGTTTTCTGTGCCTCCAATTTCAGAGTCCACTTTCAGCTGGAACATTGCCTGATTTTAAATAACACTGAAATGGGGACAGAAATGCTTTGAAGTAATGAAAAGCTCTTGTTTGTCCTCACTCCATGATATCAGTATAAGAATTATTAAAGACAGAGAACAGTGGAGGTATGAGGCCTTCAAAAAATGAACCTTTATATCATCACCTAATCACTGCAAGCAGCTAGGTAGTTAAAGGTCGAAGGGCCCTTTATTTATTTGGTTGATCAGCTCATTCGGGCCAGTTCTCTCTGTGACGCTGAAGCACAAATACTCTTTTATTATTACAAATCAGCTAATACCCATGAAATCCTTAGAGGAAATATTAAAAAAGCACAGCAGGGCAGGAATATCCCACAGCGTCCATTAAGACTACAGGGAAAAACATACCCTCCCTTCCAAAAAAACAAACAGCTCCAAACCAATCTTAATCATCTGCATAGTTTCTTCTTTAATTCAGATACATTATACCTTTACACCAGCTATAGAGCATGCTTTCTTACTTGAATATTGCATGTGTGAAGGGAAATTTGTCCACCACACCCCTCAGTACAAATAGATAGAGGAGAAATTCCTATGTTTGTGCAGGATCCCCGCCTTATCAGGTGGAAACGTGTAAAAGATGTGCGTAAGATGCATGACTATTGAAATCGGTGGGATCTATGTGAGTTGAACCTGTTTGCAATTGCTGGACGCATGTGTGCATGCATGTGTCAAAAGTGTATGCTCGTGTGCATACGTGTGTGTGTGCATATTCCCACAGCTGGATCAGTACCCCTCCTGGCTTCTGCTCTTTCTTCCCGTCTGAGAGGAGGGAAACCAATTTGCTCCACAACAAGTTGCATCTGCCCATATCACGTGTACTTGCTGTATTTTTCAAGGGGCATGCGAGGAAATAATGTTTATGAGACAATCCGAGAACAGTAGGTTCAGATTTGAGAACCAGTATTTTATTGCAGGGACGAAGGAAGGTTTGGGTTTATTGTAATACGAGATGAGTTGCAGAAATGACACGGACATCTATGAGACTTTCGACAAAGAGGAATTACCATGGTGGTTTGTTCACTGAGTCTAAAATGCGTCTTGTTTCCTTTTTCTCCTCCTCTCCTCCCTCCACCCCTGTCTGTATACACAGGAGCTAACGCATCTGCCCCCGACCAGCTGAGCCTTGCGTTGGCTTGGAACAGAGTAGACATCGCCCGCAGTCAGATCTTTATTTACGGGCAACAGTGGCCGGTACAGTATATATACACCATCTTCTACTGAAAGCATTTTAAACCTACACAACGTTAAATCCGTTCTGTTGATGGCGGCGGTTTTAACACAGTTTAGAATATACTGAGTCATGCTCCCAGCCGAACGCAGAGTTCCCGTTCACAGCACCGGAACACAAACGTTAATGTGTTTGCTTTTTCAAGGCAACGGTGACATCTAGCGACGCCGTAGCACTGGGGGACCACACCTTTAAAGAAACGGGAAGCAATTGGTGCTATCAAGCAATGATTCTGTCAGCTGAGAAAAACAAGTATCTTGTTTGCAACTGTGTCACAATGTTAGGCTGTAAATTAAAGGAAAGGCATGACTTCTTTTTGCTCTTCGAGCAATATGCTTTTGTGTACAAATACTGAATTTGATGATGATCAGAAGTCAAAAATATGCTGCATAGACGTTGGAGGTCATCAGCTGGGCCACGAGAGCTGATCAGCAGTGTCACCACAGAACTGCTGGGGCTCCAGACTTGAGCTGGTATTAATTTCATGCCCAGTGCTGCTCTGCCTGCTTCACGTCTGCCCCATCCTGTGCTTCAGCTACTGGCTGAGGGGACAGGCTCCCTGGCCAACACCGTCCCCGGGGTGCAGAGCTTCGCTGCAGGAGTGGGAGGGCTGTACATAGAGGACTTACTGAACACTGTGTGGGGCAGAGGAGGAGGAGGAGTCGACTCCCTGCTTGTGCTGCATTTTTACAGTGGTGGAAGTCACCCAGAAAAAAAAAAAAAAAACAGAAGGGCTCTGTCTCTACCTGTATCTCCTTAAAGCCCACCATATCTTCGTTTGGAAGATTTAGTTGGATGGCAGTATTCATTATCGTGACTCTTGTTTTGTCACCATCACGAAAATTTCATATGCTACCGTTACATGAGCATTTACAACTCCCCATGGGAAAATTATAACAAACGATAAAGCTTCTATTTAAATATCTTGCTTTAAATGTAGTTTCTGGAGCTTGTTGCCCCTTAAAGTTGCTTTAAAAAATCCTTGCCTCTTCAGTTATAGAGTGAACATGACTATTTATCTCTTCTTCAATATTGCGCATAAGCATGCATCAAAATATAGGGGAGACTTTAATGGTACTAAATTGTCCTTATTCTTACCACTCCATCACCACATCATAGCAAAAATTTGCATAAATGCTGCAAGCTGCAACCATTTTGCAAGCTAAAAGCTGGAACTATGAGATAATTGCTCATCCTTCTCACTACCCCTAACCTGCAAGAGATGGAAAAGGAGAGGTTTTGCATAAGAAAATCTCTTGCATTTGGCCCTTCAAAGAAACCCTAATTGTGAAGCTATTTCTGCTTCCTGGGTGTCAAAGTTTCTCTGAGTTTCCACACCATGAACAGAGGAAAAAGCTAGTAAAGACAGAATTAAAGTGAGTGTGTGTGCGCACATAAAATATACCCAATGTAAACAAAACGTTGTTGGGAAAGCAAGAAATAAAGATAATAATGGGACAGTGAATAGTGTGAAGGTGTGGTCACCAGTTTCCTGGGTTCCAGTTCCTTGGTCCTGATCTGGATTTCCTAGAGTAGGTTAATCTTAACACTGACACTAGTTTTTGAAACGTTTCCCTGAATCGGAGAAAACAATATAAACTAAAACTGTGATTATCCCATTTTAAGCTTAGCAGAGCAACCCTCAGAATTTTGTCAAGATTCCCTGCTTGTGCCAGGGTGACCGGACCAGCCAGATACAGCCTGTGATGCCCAGGAACAGCCTGAATTAATGGCTTGCTTTGCAGGTGGGCTCCCTTGAGCAAGCAATGCTGGATGCGCTCGTGTTGGACAGAGTGGATTTTGTGAAATTACTCATAGAAAATGGAGTAAGCATGCATCGTTTTCTCACCATCTCCCGGCTAGAGGAATTGTACAATACGGTAGGGCCAATCTAAGGCAAATTTTCTATCTCTGTATTCATTGTTCTAGCTCCCACTCGTATTACAATGACATGATGATGCACAAGGCAGCCAAGACCTGCTGTGGAAATTTTCCATGTTAGAAGTCTACATTGTCTCTTAGCCTTGTCTCTCATATAATGGAAGACACTGTGCCTTGCCCACCTAATCTACTGTACGGATTTTGTAAAACATGGATTAAGCCCCACACAGTACCAGCTGATTTCTGGTCATTGTAATTCCAATATGATAGACCTGAGATTTAAGCAGATGGCACTGTCACAGTAACTGGCAAGTTAGGACCTATAGGATGGTGATACATGACTCCTGACAGTATAAGCCCTTCTGTTTTCAGAAAAATCTTGAAACTGTTAATCAAATTCAGCCACTAGAAAACAAATAGAAGCCAACTTCTTGGGACATGTTCTGAATTTAAAGGTGAAATCTGGTTATTTCAGGAGGTCTGTTACAGTGAAGGACTTCCCTGTGTCCTCACAGAATGTTCCAAAAATTATAGTTTTGACTTTTAAAAGCCTGTTTGCAAGTTTTCTATCTTGTCCTTAAAATGCACATAAAACTGCACAGGTTCAAATTGCTTCTGAGTTCTCAGCTGCAAAATACATTCCAGCATCACGTCATTATTGCCTACCAAGAGAAACCAGTTAGTTCAAATTGCCTAAGTGATATGGACAAAATTTTAAAGCATTGTCTAGTTCTTAGGATTGCTAGTTCTGTCCATTGGAGAGAGGTTGTGTCGCAGTGCATAGCCCTTTTCAAAAAGTTTTTTTCTGCCAGTACTTTTAAAAGCCCTGCCATCCTAAGCTGTCACACCGGGCTGTTACCCAGAGACGCTTCACATTGATGGTGACCAGAAGTCAGTCTTTCAAAAATATCAAATATGAAAAAAATCCATTAAATTTCTGCAAAAGATAGAGGAACAGGGATCCGTGCCACCCTTGAGACAGATCCCCATCTGATCTTTGGTCAGCTTAAACTTTGCCTATCAACTAGCATCTATGTATTAAGAACAGAAAGCCTATGAGCTTTCTTTCTACAGAGATATGCATTGTAGTTCTTGTACCAAAGCCAGTTTTTACAGGGAGTAAGTTTGAGGAAAGTCTTGAGTTCTGCAGGTAAAAGAAGGCCTTTTCGAACAAATCTATTGTGAGCTATAGAAATCACCATGAACTATTCATACAAGAGTTCCAAAAGACCCAGGCTGTCAAATGTCTAAACTACCAATTATGATATATGACCTAATGCATCCATAATAGCCTTAGCACCAAAAAAATGACAAGGCCAGTTAAAAATACCAAATTTCAACATGAGATCTGGAAAGTTACAGATCAGTGAATCTGACTTCTTCCATGGCAAATTCATAAAAATACAGTAAAGAATGGAATTAATAGACAAGGGGATTAATTTTATGTTAAGAAAGAGTTTACCTGGCTTCTGTAAGAAAATGCTAAGCCTTAAAAATCTGTTACCATCTCTTTAGTCTACATGCCAGAGAATAAGGATGTTGCACTTGGTCCACCTGATTTGCAAAACCTATTTGACAATATTTGAAAACCTCACAGGTTATTAAAGAAATTTAGCTGTTGTGTCATAGAAGATAAGAGGCACTTGTGGTTTAAATACTACTTGAAGGGTAAAAAACAGAGTAGGAATCTGCTCTCACCACAAAGCGACATTATGACCAGGGTCATCGAAGACCCTGTCCTGAGACCACTGCTGTTCAGCCTGCTTAGAGATGATCTGAAAAATAGTAACTACGGAAGGGACAATGTTTGCAGGTGATTTAGCATCACTCAAGCAAATCTGAAGCAGCATATGAAGAATTACAGACATGTGTCAGCATGCTTAGTGATGGGGTTGTATAAAATTAAGTGTTGGCAAGTGCAGAAAAATGTATGCGTGGAAACCCTGACTCTGCACATATGCAGTGGTCACATCTATCATCAGTTGCAGTCAAGGAGACCTCCTACAAAAGTCTCTAAAAATATCAGCAACAGTCAAAAACACAACAGATAAGAAAGTACTTCTCCGCATAACATAGAACTGAAATCGTGAGAGTCTGCTGCAGAATGTTTTTTGTCAGGTGGGCTCACAAGAAGACGGGACAAATTCACAGACCATGCATGCTGTTAGTGGCTTTCAGAATAGACAGCCTAGATGCAATGTTAGGCTCAGGGGCTCTCTGAGCTACCAGTGCTGGAAGTGGAGATCCTGAGTGCAGGAAGACTGACACTTCAACAGCTGTTTTTCCTTCCACTCTCTTGCAGACACTGTGCATGTTGTGCTGGGCTCCTGCTTTGCTCCTAACCCAGGAGCCTAATCTGGTGTATAGGACCTTGGTTTCCATCCAGTGTGGCAGTTCTTGTGTTTTTCTTACTGAAGGTTTTTGTACAAAAGAGAAGTTAGGTGAAATAATGCTCTTGTAATTGACTTTTTTTTATGATTGATAACACTGTACAATTGAAATGCTCTCCATTGCCTGACTTTTAAACTGCTAAGGTGAGAACACCATTTCAGCATTTACATCTTGCAGGTCTTTGGACAGCACAAAACTATTTTATTCTTCTTTATTTGTCCTTTGCAGAGACATGGACCATCTAACACTCTGTATCATCTAGTCAGGGACGTCAAAAAGGTAAGAGTCCAATAGACGGTAGGTTGGAGATAATGCTGTGATTGCTTTTTGTAGCTAGACACGATCTCTGTTTTGCATGAGCTTTCAGTCACAGCCTTCTCCTTCCCCTGCCATTACAGAATGTCCTATTTGTATGTACCAAAAATGAACTTTTTGCATACAAAGCATAATTAGCAAGTTATCTGGCTTGCTTTCTCTGTGGTTTTAGATGCTTGGGTAATAGTGCTTCTGCTAGCATTATTGTAGGCTTTTACATACTGTGTGGATTTATGCTGTTATCTGTATTTTTCCATACCTGCAACTATTGTCAAAGCTAATTTCCATGTTGTTATTTTACTTCCGAGCCTGTAAAATAACCCTTATCCTGTGCTGGATCCTAGTTCGTTGAAACAGTTCCTTGTTCTGTGTTGTGTGGTTTATCGTAGCCATCTTCCTCATCAGAGACACACAAAAAGAAGTAGTGCAACTTTTCCCTGCTCCCTATCAAGTTAATTTCAAGCATGTTGAATTATAAAGAGCCATTAGGAGGGCAGGACAGAAACACAGAAAGGTATAGTGACAGGAAGGAGATACCAAATACCTTTAGCAATGTGTTCAGGATTAAAAGTGTTACAGCAGCAGCAATGACTGAAAATCCCTTATCCTCTAAATATATGGATCAAGTAAGGAGATTGAGTCTGCAACTGACCTCATCAGCTTCAATATTCTCCCAAAGCATGTGCAGATTACAACCTTGCTCATTACATAAGTTTTACCTCAAGGGTAGCATAATTGAGAAAGGAGATTTCTGCATATGGGTCTAGATAGAAGATTGAAAAGGAATGCAGATTTTTTTGTAAAAGCACAGATTTTAGTGGTTTCTTCTGTCTCTGCCAGCTGAGCAGAACCGAAGTCAACTAGGGGAGGGGAGTGAAAATGCTCCAAACATCATCTTTCTGTTAAATAATGCTACAGGATAATCAGTAGTTATGTTTAGGGAGGTTCTGGTGGTTTTCTTTGGTTGGTGTGTTATATGGCATCATCATTGTTCAATTATATATAGTATGTTAAGTGACCGTTGCAATACATGAAATGCCTACAGAAGAAACTGAAACTGTTCTTATGCACAAATCCCCTTGAATGGAGCAGAGTAAAGCTAGAATGCATTTAGACTGGCTACTTCTCTAGAAGCCAAAGTTACCAGAATTTATTTTTTTTTACTAAAGATGTACTTATTAATGTGCCTAAAAGAGTTTCTAACAAACATCATCTGTCTTCTTACTTTAAAATATATTCCTTTTCAACCTGCTTCTCTCCCTCAGCACCACTTTTCCAAGTCCTCCTTGAATGTTGAGTGACTAAATAATACCAATATCTTTCTGTGAGTCCATAACAAAAGATGTATTTTTGAAGGAGCTCTTGGAAAAAACACAGCAAAGTAGGCAAAGGCAATCATTATTCATAGATATATATTGATAGACTTCGGCATTGAATAAACTTACACTATGCTTGATGACATTATTTGTTCCACGGTGATTGCTGTATGTTAGATGATGGTCATTTTTCCATAAATTCATCTTTCTTTCCTCTGTCCATATTTAAAGTCTAAAGTAACTCCCACTACATGAAGTCAATGTGTAGTCTTACTAGCATACAGCTAAAGGCTTTACAAACAAACAGCCTGGTGCAGCCCTCTGGCACCTTCATCAGAAAACTGCACCTCTGGTGCTGTATTTCTCGTTTTGTCAGTGATGAGGAACAACCGCAGTTCACTTGGAGAAAAGTGACAGCTCACCATAGCCCTGCTGTCTGAGCAGATCCTTTACCAGTCAACCAAGCTGTAAATCAGTCAGCAGATCTGACAATTTAAATGAAAACACCTCCTTGGAAATAACTTCTTAATGGACATCACCATTTGACAGTTAAGTGGCCCACTGTGCATGAAAACCAGACCATCCTGCTGACATTGTTTTTTTGAGTTTATACGTATTTTGATGCCAGATACCTAACGTCTATGATTTTTTAATTACAGTATCACAAAATATAAATGCAAAAAACATAGAATGTCACCTGGAGAAAACAACTTAAATCTGTGCTTTTTATGCATACATCTCAGTTTTAAAACCTGCACTATTTAAAAGGATGTATGCAATAAAAAGTTATTTACATCTGCATCGTTGTGAACTCTCAAATAGAAAATGCATGCTTACAAATCACAGAAGCGTTATTTATTTGACTGTTATATTACATAGCTGTATAAATCACTAAAAGGGTTTGTGGGTGGGTTTTTTGTTTGAAAGACCACCCTGCCTGCTTAATGAAGCAAACAATTTGAACAGAAGTCACATTACCACATCCTGTTTGTGGCAGTTTACAAACACACGTGTGCGTACGCGCGCGCGCACACACACAGACACAGACACACAACCGTGAAAGACAATCATTTATTTTCTCTTCGGATTTCCAAATATGGCTGTGAAGACTGTTAGCCTGGCCATCATTTTGTAAAGGCCTGGAGAAACAGTCTTAAAGAATTTACAGTAGTCAGATTGTGCTTAAACTCTGCATATATTAACGAGGCAAAGTACTTCTTGATGATGCTGCTTTAGAGACAGCTGTGGTCATCTCTTTTTTCGATCCTTTTAATTGCACCACTGCATATGGGGACAAATCTGCCTGCATCGTTTGCGTCATGGCCTTTCTGACATCTCCTGTCAAAGGTACAGAATTTAACATAGAGGGTTGACCTCCCTCCCTAGAGCATATGAACCCATGCACCACGACCAGGCAGGCAGCAGCAGCGGCCGTGCCTGTTCGTGGAGCTGGCCCTCTACAGGTTGTTTTTTAAAAAATCCTTCCCTGGCTCAACCAGCTAGCTAAGATCAATAGAAATTGACAGACGAATTTTTTCTTTAATCCAAAACTTGTATATAATCAATATATCTTAATCACATTCTGGGGTGATACAAGTTTTCAAAGTTTATTTTAGACTGCCACTGTATGTCCATTGCCACATTTCCAGAGAACTAAAGAGCAATATACAGAATTTTGAAAGTATTAATTTTTCTTCAGCATGCAAAATCAGAGGCTTGGTACCTGCTGAATATAAAATGCACTTGCAGTTTAAAAAAATCTACAATTTCTTAGCCACGGTTTAAAGTTGAAGCTTCTTCAGGAAAAGAATAATGCGTTAGCATTGAAGAGCTTGTCTCAACATTAGAAGGCTAGTTGATTATTAATTGAGATACTTACTATACCCAAAAATCAAACGTTCTTCTCTGTCACTCCTGACCACCTTGGCTGTACTTGAATGAGCCCATCTAAATTTTTGCTGTCCTTGAAGGGGTTCTGGCCCACTTGCACTGCTGTGCTTCATTTACAAGCAGACTCGCTGCTTCCAGGGTGTCCGCTGATACGGCAAAGGCTTTGGGATGTGTATAACTCCTCTCACAAGAATGGTCCAATTGGCTTTACTAGGGCTGCTTACTTTGGAAAAGTAATTGTACATTAGCATGGCATCATACATATGTGTATGTCTACAAGATGTGTGTTTCTGCAGTGAATTTGTGAATTTTCTTTAGTAAAGCATTTCAATATTATCCAGGAGATTTAGGTAGATCTTTTATTGAAGTTACATTATTGGAAATGTTTTATCTAAATTCCTTTATGAAATTTTAGATATCAGAAGAACTATATCAGGAAACTCGTGCTTTGTAACACATGCAGCACCCTGATGCCAGTGTGCTTTCTTCATTGCTCACGTATTTTTTGCCACTTAATAATCTCACAGCATTCACTTGTAGTGTTTTACATTAAGACAGCATGAGTCTGTTGAACTACAGTTCTGTCTTGGAGCTACAACTTCTACTTCTGCCAGTGCCTTCATCCTCGTTCTAGTAAAACCGTCATTGCCTTAAGCATTCTGGAGAGAGAATGTCATTGTGGGGAGGAGAGGAACCAAGAAAAAAAAAAAACTTAGCAGGATTTAATTTTTAGATTTACATTGTTTTTCTTTAAATAATTCAGAATAGATTGACTGGGTTCAAGAAAACTAAGCTAATATGCGTTCCTGCAAACCTAGTGATTCCCCCACCCATCAGATTAGCCAGAGTGCAAAGGGATATGCTAAGGGACATTGCTGAAAGGTAGTTGGCAGCTCACCTTTAGCCACTCAAATTGCTTCATCTTCTGTCCTTTTGAATCCCAGCCAGTTGCTAGGCGTGGTACACCACAGCACCACCTCCCTCACTCCTTCCTCAACCTCCTAGCTTGCTGTTTGTATTGTAGAGAGCAGAGAGGGGAATAAACATTGCTCTTCCTGGCTGAAGCAGATGAAGAAGGAGGATCTTTGCATCCATGTCATGTCTTCTGCAGAACCAGCTGCCATCTGCTTTCCATTAATGTTTCTCTGCTCTGAATCTAATAAGCACATCTGCAGAGAAGCCAGGCAGATATCTGCAGACATGCAGATCATTTCCAGCAAGACATGGCAGTCCTAAAATTGCTCCGTGTGAATTACTAACCTTCTTTTGATGACCACATAAAAAGAGCTACAGGCTAACTGTGATCTGTGCTATATATCATTACAGAAAAATGTGATTTTATTACAGTGCATTGAAGAAGTTTGAAGCTAACAATTACAATTTCCTGGCTCTTCTGCAATGTTGTCTATACAAGTCAATTTTTCACTAGAGTAATTATCTCTGTTTCTAAGGCTACCGCTTACAGTTCACAGAAGAATAATTTACCTCTCTTTCCACCTTTAATTCGGAATCACATCTCTTGCATAGTGACATACAGGACAGAGAGGGTTCTTAATGAGATGTCTAGATTTGGGTGACCTATCCAAAATTTGCTGAATCATGCCTTCTTTTCTGATAGAGAACTGCTCACTGAGCCATAAACTGACATCTGAACAATTCGGAGGCAGTGATTTAGAGAAGGAGGCAAACTTTCATTTGTGGGCATTCCCTTCCCATTAGTCTTTTCCTCCTGTAAAGGGCTCAGAGTTTTCCTTGTCAAGTTTCCAAGGGGGAACAGAAAAGCTGATGTGCCCACGCTGGGGTCTTGTTCTTCTGTCACCAGAGACCCCCAAGAGCACTTCACCAGCACATCCAAGAGACCAGCCCACCCCGAAATTGTCCTGGCCTGCTGGGTGTCGCATCAGACTTACTGCTACTGGAGAACAAAAGTGCCCGGTTAAGTCAAAGGCAGTCTCAGATTCATGTGCAGTAAGAGGCAATCTGTTATGGAGATCTTTCTTCATAGCTTTGCAAACCACAAGTATTGGAGAACTCATAACTTTAGTGTTGCTGTTTTCAGACTTGACAGTGAAGAGAAGGAGGATATGTGCAAGGGAGTTCACAAAGTGAGGGCAGTAAAACATGGGCATATTTATCATTCTTTCTGCCTTCAAAATAAAAGGTGCATGCTGAAGACATATATACGTATTATATTTAGCAGAGGATAAGAAGGAAAAAGATATGCAAGAGTCAGTATGTAGACTCCAGGATCCTGTTGATGACCCTTGACACAAGCAGAGTTCACCTCTTGGGAGACAATTTCCCTGGCACTGCTGGAAATTAGGTAGCAAGAAAATGACTGTGCTTAGAGGGGCTTTCAGTAAAATACGTCGGGAGTTCAAGGAAAGACCATCTAGGAAAATTGCTAGGCCTATTGTTTTCTTCTTGAAAAAACTACCAAAGAATTAGCCACTGATATTTTGTTTATTATAACTTTCATACTTTCTTTCATACATACAGATGCTTTCCTCATACTTGGTGTGGAATTTAAGCAAAGACATGCATTTATTTGTACACAACCCTAAGAACAAATGCTAACAGATTCCCCTTGCCTCTAGAAAATAGCAATAATAATAATAACTCATGCACTGTGTAATTCCTCTAGAGCAGATGACACAGCCTTTTCCTCCCTGCCCTTCCTTGGAACATGGGAAGAAAACACTGCAGGATGGGAAGATCACATGCAGGAGCTGGTTCCGTGTGAATAAATGATATCACATGATGTCCCTTCACTGTGCCTTAGCAGTGCAGATGAGGCAGTCCGAAGAGATGCCAGCAGGACAAGAGTTGTGGGGGACAAATGGTGCAGAAAAGGTGCCATCTTGCAGGACTAGAGTCCAGCAACTGTGCCTGACCTTTCAAGTGTGCTGATCCTCGTGCTTTTTGTTCTGCAGTCGTGTTCCTTGTTTCCCCAGCTGAAGAATATGAGTACTGTGTACTGACGTTATCTTCTGTTACTTCCAACAAGTTCTTCACCTTCTTATTTAACTTATGTCTTCTTTCCAAGCGAGAATATCCAGGTTTCGGTTGGATCTATTTTAAGGTGAATTAATTAACCAGCATAATAATACATTCCTGTTTTTAACTATTATTTAATTTGCTTTATTCTAACATATATATATATTATATTTAACAATGCCAGTAATACAAATTTCATCCTCACCCACCATCCTTCTTATTTTCATTGCAGGGAAACTTACCTCCTGATTATCGGATAAGTCTGATTGACATTGGTTTGGTGATAGAGTACCTGATGGGAGGCGCATACCGCTGCAATTACACCTGTTCAGAACACTGTACCACAATTTATTTGGGCCCAAGAGGGTAAGGAGCAAGTTATTTGCCATCTGTGTGACTGCACCCACTGGCAGAGATTACCATAGCTTTTTAGATGGTTCCAGGCTGGGGGGTACAAATGGACACACTGTTCACTCTGTAGATTCATTTCCATCAGGTACATAGCAGCTATTTTACCACAATGCGCTGCAGTGCCAGCCACTGACACAAGCTACATTTTTTATTAATTTAGCGAAAAAATTATTGGGTTCTGCTGCGCTGTTGAGACCAGGACATAAAACAGTCTCCTCTGGGTCTAAAAACTGTTGATTATGAGTATCCACAGCTTTTGAAAGACAAGTCTTTTGATCTGTACTGATAATTCCATAGGGCACCTGAGTTAGACTTGAAAATACTTGTGTTTTGACAGACGTATATCCTATCCTATGGCTCATCTTCTTAATTGTGGCTAGAAGGTATCTGGGCAATGAAATCCGTAACTCAAAAGTGGCTTTATTGGCTCTATGTGGCTTCAGCAGAGTCAGTGGGCTCATGGACAAAACCTCCCTTCAGTATTTTTGTGAGTTTCCTGTTTGATAGATCACAATACTGTGAATCCAAAGTGAGTTTACCTTTCTAAACCATAAAAGATATTTATTGTCGTCTATAATGTCACCGACCCAATCCGGTGTAAAGAAAAATCTTCTAAACTGCTCCCAGTAAGATCTGTAGTTCTTTCTTTGCCTATTTTTACCTCACATTTTCATTTCCTATCTCAGTTCAGGTTTTAGCAGGGCATACCATTGAATATTGTTCTAAGTAGCTATAAAGAGCAACAGCTGTGCGAAACAGTTACAGCCAAACACCTCAAATGAGTTTGGTTTTTTCC